ATATATTAATTTAGTGGTTTTACTTGATAAAAAAAATTTTTTTACTTATCATTTATACATTATATTTAATTATGATCTAAATTTTTTATTTAAAAGTTAAAAAGTCAAACTAGCAAGGAAATAATTATAAAATTTATCTTTTTCTTGTTTCCAAAAAAGAAAAAAAAAAAAAGAAAATCAAGTTAATCAAGTTACAAACGTCGATCCGGTATTTCAGCTACTTTGACTAAAACCATATATGTAGCCAACCAAAACAGCCGGTTCAACACCAGTGAAAAATCAAGGAATAGAGAATCGGCTTATTCCAAAGCACTAGAAATCTGAAAATACAACCAAACATGATCATATTATATATATAGTGTTTTACACGAAGGAAGGTACATATATTCATATCACAGTCTCACAAAAACCAAGAAATGTTAAAATACAACCAAATAAAATAGGGAAATTGAGAGTTCAAATACAGCTAACCAAACAAGCTAATAGAATTTCAACCTGGAGTGGAAACTGCTCAACCTACATCACAAAATATGTTTCAACTTTATTGTAAATTAACCAGCCAAGGCTTCATTTTTCTGTTAAAGATTCCCTGAGAACATGTTGAGACAATAATTTCACAAATGAGGGGAAACTGCAACCATCCAAAAACCATGGTTGGAATGACAGCCGCCAAAGTTATGAGAATTAATGCCCACAGTTGAACTTGTAGCATGATCAAAAGAGCAGCAGAAAAGCTAGCCATCATTGTTGCAATGGAAATAAAGAGAGTGATAAGGCCGATCATCAACTTCCGAGGTAAGGACAAAAGAAAATCTTCTTCAGCTTTGCGTGACGTTAGGATTCCCAAAAATATTAAACCTGAAGTAGATGCGGCAAAGAATGATATTGCATCGGTTATTATAAATATCTTAAATAATTTTTTGCCTAAGAGTATGGGTAACCCATTATTCTGATTGTCGCCGCCTGGAACAGTAAAAGATACTGCAAACATGATGGTTACAAGGAGAATACTGAGAATAATAAAAGAACTTGCTGTGTCCGTCATCCATTTTTCTCCCTCTTTCAGTAATCCCTTGTGACTCTCAGTAAATACATCTTTAGGGTTTTCACCATTATTATTTTTAGCTTCTTTGCACCATTCTGGAACAATTCTTTCCACCTCCTGCATTCATTTCACAAAACTAAACTATATGTTAATATTTTTTATGATTTAAGTTTCATTTCTAGAACAAATTAAAAAAAAAAAAAAAAAAGAGTACATACATTATAAACTTTTGATGTTGTAGTCAAATATCTCACTTACATATAAAATAAAATTCGAAGAATTATATTGAGGGAGCAAGTGAGAGATAAGGACCTTAAACCATTGTAGTTCTCTTTGCATCTGTAATGCTGGACTGGAGATTCCACCACGCTCAAACTCAGGAGCCAACCCCCCTGCCACATGTAAAATATTGTTCCCATCTATATCTGATTTATTAAGATTTTCAGCCTTCCATGCCTCATTAGCGCCATAAATGAGGTTGAAAACATTTTCTTGACGATGTTGGACTGCAACCATGAAAGCGAGTCTGTCATCATCATTAACTTTAAAACCAATTGACGGGTTGGCTTTACATAGCTCAGTGACAAATTCAACTATTCCCTGCTTGGTAGCTTCAAATAGTGCAGCACCCACTCCATAATCATCACGCTTATAATTCAATTCCAAAGCTGATACATGCTTACACATACAGCAAAGAACCTTATGTGCATAGCGATGCCTCAACTTCAAATTAGAAACGTGTTTGACTCCTACTTATATCAAGTTCAGAATCAATCAAAATTTATAAAAAATAGTAGAATAGAAGATAAAAAAAAAAAAAAAAAATTCCTGTAGTTGAGGGGAAGTTACCAAAGAACTCTTGGACTTTTAAACCCAATCCAACAAGTCCATAAAACACTGCAATAATGTTAATTAACCCCTGTTATAAATAAATCTGACATGCCCTTGTATAAGTTCAATTTTCTACTCTCAAAAACAAGGAAATGATACTTTTATTTCTTTTGAGAATTTAATATATGGTATATACCTCGTTTTCTAAGGCTCCTTTTACCGTAGCCTTGGATAGTAACATCACTAGTTGGAGTTTGGTCAACATCAAGTTGCACGTCTTTCGTAGGAGTGGTGGGTGTGATTGGTAACTCGACCTTTAAGCCTTCAATTCATTTATTGGATTAATAGCCAAACAACAAAATTTAGAAATTAATAATTATATAGAACTGGGAATTAATATTGATGCCGATCGAGTCCGTTACCTATTGTTACACTATGATATTTTTTAAAAATAATGTATAAGTTGATAGAAAAGGGTGGGTTGCCCTTTTGTAGTACCTCAATAATAAAAGTTTATATTTTTTTATCTTTTCTAATAAAGAAAGAAAGATAATTAAAATACTTACATTGATAAATTAGTCGTTGCCAAGCCGAAAGTCTAGTCCCACTATAAAACGCAGAAGGTTGACGAGACAACATTAGAATAGGGGACTCTCCCCGAGTATGGACGCAAACAGCCAAACTTGGATATTTTTTGAGTAGATCCCAACAAATATCTAGTTTTCCAATATGTAGAAGAAAAGTTAAACAAGTTAGACCTCACCCGTTGAATTCTAAATTCTTACTAACACATAATAAAATATTGGATTTGTTTTAAAATAATTGTTTTTTATATTTTTTTCCAAATTGAGAATTTAAAAATAATAATTGCATTTATCTATAGTACCCCTAAAAAATAAAAAAATAAAAAACAAAGAGAAACTTTTTTTTAATTGGATGATTAATTAAAATGAATGAATAATAATAAAGTTAAAATAAAAAAAAAATATTTGTGTATCTTAAAAAATAAAAAAAT